GTCGAGCGCGCGAAATGCAGGCGAGCACTGGCGACTTTGTAGTACAACTTTAGTCCGCGGAGTATCTGGGGAGCTGGAAGATGAGAACTGGTGACTTTGTAGTGCAACTTTAGTACGCGGAGCAATCTGTGCAGCTGGAAGCTGAGAACTGGCGACCTTGTAGTACAACTTTAGTACGCGGAGTATCTGGGGAGCTGGAAGAGTGTCCCACAAGAGCGTCCCGCAACAGTGTCCCACTAAATTGTCTCACAACAGTGTCCCTTTAAGAGTGTCCTACAGGAGTATCCCACAAGAGTGTCCTACAAGAGTGTCCCACAAGACTGTCCCACAAGAGTGTCCTACAAGACTGTCCCACAAGAGTGTCCTACAAGAGTGTCCCACAAGAGTGTCCCACAGAGTGTCCCACAAGAGTGTCCCACAAGAGTGTCCCACAAGAGTGTCCTACAAGAGTGTCCTACAAGAGTGTCCCACAAGAGTGTCCCACAAGAGTGTCCTACAAGACTGCAGACTGTCCCAGAAGAGTGTCCTACAAGAGTGTCCCACAAGAGTGTCCCACAAAAATGTCCCACAAGAGTGTCCTGCAACAGTGTCGCTCAAGAGTGTCTCACAAGAGTGTCCCTTAAGAATGTCCGACAAGAGTGTCCCACAAGAGTGTCCTACAAGAGTGTCCCACAAGAGTGTCCCACAAGAGTGTCCTACAAGAGTGTCCCACAAGAGTGTCCTACAAGAGTGTCCCACAAGAGTGTCCCACAAGAGTGTCCTAGAAGAGTGTCCCACAAGAGTGTCCTACAAGAGTGCCCCACAAGAGTTTCCTACAAGAGTGGCCCACAAGAGTGTCCTACAAGAGTGTCCTTCAAGAGTGTCCCAGAAGAGTGTCCCACAAAAGTGTCCTACAAGAGTGTCCCACAAGAGTGTCCCACAAGAGTGTCCTACAAGAGTGACCCACAAGAGTGTCCTACAAGAGTGACCCACAAGAGTGTCCTACAAGAGTGTCCTACAAGAGTGTCCCACAAGAGTGTCCCACAAGAGTGTCCTATGAGAGTGTCCCACAAGAGTGTCCCACAAGAGTGTCCCAAGAGTTTCCTACAAGAGTGTCCTACAAGAGTGTCCTACAAGAGTGTCCCACAAGAGTGTCCCACAAGAGTGTCCCACAAGAGTGTCCTACAAGAGTGTCGTGTAAGAGTGTCCCACAAGAGTGTCTTGCAAGTGGCTACAAGAGTGTCCTACAAGAGTGTCTCACAAGAGTGTCCTACAAGAGTGTCCTACAAGAGTGTCCCAGAAGAGTGTCCCACAAGAGTGTCCTACAAGAGTGTCATTTGGACATATGTTTTTCGATCGTGTTTCCATTCGGGTTCGTGGGTTCCATCTTGTTTATGATAGCTTGACCTAGTTGACAACTGACAGCTTTCCTCGCCCCACAGCCCAGCCCTCCTGAACTAGACGACGAGTGGCCTGAAAGCATTTTTCATCACGTAGGAAGTCAGAGTGCGAGTTATCTGTTAAGTGTGCGGTGTGAAGTGCTAAGTCGAGTGAGTTGAGGTAGTGTGTGGGTTTCTGTGTGTGTATCTATGTCCGTGTGTATATGAGTCTGCGTGTGTGTGTGTGTGTGTAACCCTTGGAATCATAGGGATCCTTTCGGATTGTTTTAGCTTCACAGTTGTTTTCCTTGTGCAGCAGGGGGACATGGCGTACAATCAGGGACCATGTCCAACGAAGCTACCTGATTGTACGGGAAATGAGAGCTGATCACTCTCACGTACCTGCTTTGAGTTTTTCCGTGCATGGCCACTGGGCTAAGCCGAGAACCCAGCTAGTTTCTACCCTTAGTAAAGGGCTAGTGAGTTCCGCAGACATGCGCGTTACGCCGTCACCCCGTCGGTCCGTTTTCGCCTTGAGCTTTTGGCCTTCTTTCCTCTTGAAGTCCTCCAGGTTCCCGTGGTTCGTACTGGTACCCTTAGGAAATGGAACCCTAGGCCGGCGTGTGGCACCGCTTTCAGTTCAGCACACCCTATCCTAAGTGTGTTTGGCCTCGTGCCAACCCGGGATGAGCCCGCAGAGTGCGTCCCGTGGACCCGTCGAACGGGTGTATGTCCAACGTATCCCCTGCCCGGATACAGAGCAGCTCGCGTAGGTGGCCTAGGCCGTACGTACGATGATTTTGTCTCATTTTAGGAATTCCAAGCTGGCTCACGCCTTTAGGTGACAGCAGCGGTCAGAGGTGGCAGCCCTTGGGCAAGCCGTACGTGGTCGCAGCGACCGAAGTTTGTTCAAGCCTGTCGCGAGCTTAGTCCCTTCTCCCCCTTCCCTTCCCCCTTTCTTTCTTTGCTTCCTGGGGTTTTCCTGAATGCAACGCTCAGGATCACCCCTCTCTTTCTTTGGTGTGTCTCTGGACGCTTGTTCGTAGCTGGGAACACCTGCCTTTTTCTTTTTTCTCTCCTCTCCCTTTCTCTCCCTCTCTCTTTCTTTCTTTCCTTCTCTCTCTCCTTCCTCCCTCCTTGGGTGTCCCTGGATGCTTTTGTCATAGCTGGGAACCTTCTCCTCTCTTCCTTTGGTGTGTCCTTGGACGCATGCGTCGTAGCTGGGAACACCTTCCTTTCTTTTCTCTCCTTTTTCTCGTCTCTCCCTACCCCTCCCTCTTGTCGGCACCTTAGCTTGGGATGCTACTAGGGGCTCCTGGCCTTCCTACTAGGTGTTAGGTTTTTCTTTGACGCTACTAGAGGTTCCTGGCCTTACCACTACTTGGGGACGAAGTACACGTCATTGCCTCGTTGATTGTGGCGCGGAGCTTAAAATCTTGCCTCCCCTCGGGGAGGCGTGTGTGTGTAACCCTTGGAATTATAGGGATCCTTTCGGATTGTTTTAGCTTCACAGTTGTTTTCCTTGT